CATTGCCTCCATGTCACCACGACCAAAACACACCACCTCCGCCCCAACCTGCCTCCCTGCCCCCAGACGTGGGACAACTGTTACCCGGCAATCCTCCCCGCGTACCAGTACCCAGCCCCACCCGTCCCTGGTCATTGCACCGCACTCCCAGCCGTTCACCCGCAACGGACTCTCTCTCTCTCTCTCTCTCTAAATCTCTCTCTCTCTCTCAATCTCTCTCTCTCTCTCTCTCAATCTCGCTCGCAAACTGTCAAAAGCAGTCTGACAATATCAACGTGTAATACTACAAAAGCCGCCCAATATGCGCATATAATACAGTATACACCTTTTAATAAGTCTGCAAAAGCTCGTTTTCTCGCTACGATAAATATTGTCAGCGTTATTCATCCAGATGCGATGACATTGGTGTTTAACATGTTGTTCATTGGTGTTGTATTTTAGTGTTGTGCCAGACGGTGAAATGGCGGCGACGGTGGAACAGGTGCGCGCGCGCTGTGGTCACGAGCCCACAACTCGACAGTGCCTCCCAGTCAGGGCGCAGTGGGAGGGAAAAGGGGGGGGAGCGGGGTGCAGAGGTGCTTTGGTCAGGGGGGGGTGCTCTATGAATCGAACGGAAACCGTTTGCTCACCGTTTTATGTCTGCTGTGTCAGGTCGATGCGTGTGCGTGTTCGAGCTGGTACCCGCAGCTTCGGCATCGGTCCATTGCCACGTAAGCTTTTGCTTGGCTTCATCTCGCTCTGCGTACCCACCCTGGAGGCGCTCTGGGGCCCAAAATGTCGCAAAGCAACGCCAGGCCAGACTCACCCTGAACACACGTGGCTGGGACCCACAGCCGTATCCTTGAGGTGCCCGAGAGCTTTGTCGATTACCTGCTCGATGACGGCCCTCTGATCCTTCCAGAGGAGTGAGTTTGTCAAATGAGCTTGCCCTTCCAGCCGGAACCTTCCACCGACTTCCCTTCAACCCATTCGTATATCCTTATTATGTCCCTTGTCTCGTGTCCAGCGCCGACCCCACTCGCGACGAATTTTGTGACGTAGATCGAGAGGATGAGGACATGGAGGACGACTCTACGGCTCAGCAGTCCACAACCAAAAGCAACGAGCCAACCGGCCATGAAAATAGTGATGATAGTGATGAGGAGGAGGAGGCACGACCCGTACGCTCCTCCATGCTGCTGCCCCGTCTCGATGCGTGTTCTTCGATGGTCACGCTGATTCGCTTGCCTGCTTCTGCGCTCTGGGCGTAAACGCGCATCACAATTTAGCTTCCCACTTTCCCAGAGCTGCAGGTGGCCATTACCAAAGCCATCGCTGAGCTAGGCGGCGAGGTCTTCCCCAAGCTCAACTGGTCTGCTCCCAAGGTGAGGACCGCGTCTCGACTCGGGCGACGCTTGGCGACGATTTTCAAATAAAAGGCGTCCCCAACTCATGAGCATCCTCTCTATGCGGGATGTATCCAGGACGCTGTATGGATTTCCCAAACCAATAGTCTCAAATGCCGAACGGCCGGAGATGTCTTTCTTCTCCTCAAATCATCCACGCATGCCCAGCACGACCTGCTGCACGCCTACCGCTGCTGCCAACCGCCACACGAGGAGCGCCGACCAGAGAAAGTGTTTCTCGTGCTCAAAAACTACTGGAGCAGTGCCCCTAGCCAGGAGTTTCGCTGCTTTGTGCGACAAGGCCAATTGGTCGCCATCTCCCAACGGCACGTCGACCAACACTTTCCCAACTTGGCACAGCTTGCGACCGATATTCGCTTCCAGTGCTACCACCTATATCATGACGACATCAAGCGGGTGGTATCGCAGCCCCACCTGAGCTTTGACGTGATCTGTGATGGCAACCGAGCCATCCTCCTTGATATCAATGCTTGGACCGGCGACAGCGACCCCCTGCTCTACACGTGGCAGGAGCTCGAGGCTCTGCCCGCTGCCACCTCCAACAGCGAACGTGACCCCGAGCCAACTACCTACTGCACGGATGAGGAGCTTGAACAGTTTATGCAAGCGCACCAGGCTCAAGAGCGGGCCCAGACCGGCGATGCCACCCTCGCTGCCGTGGAACCCACGCCCATGGTTGAGCGCACGCAAACCGACCGGCTCAACGCCCATCTCCTGTCTGCTTTGATGCGACAACTCGACGTCAACGGCTCGCCTGGAACTGTCGGTGATGACCAGGATGCGGGGGACGACCAAGATGAATGGGCTGAGGCGCCCACTTTGCAGGAGGACGAGGAGTCGGTGGGTGATGACCATGCCGCCAAGAACGATGAGGACAATGCTGATGACACATGGGCGCGGCAAGCAGCCATTGTTTTCCGAGTTGTCGACGATCCACAACCCCTCAAGGGAGCCAGCCTGGCCACACACGCCTACCCACGCGACGTGGTCGAGCTGGCTGCAAACGGCGATGTCGAGGTCATGATGCAGGCCCTCGTCCAAGCCCAACAAGCCCAGAACGAGGACAAGTAGATGGCGTCTGGTTTTTTGAAACATGATTCCCAAACGATCATAAAAATTAAGTATAAAACCACGTCTCTAGAGAACTCTTGAAAGAATTGGGATTGTGAATTCCAGCCCTTGATAAGTCTACAGACCACCTGCAGACCACCTGCCATTCATGTCGACAAGTTTGAGAGTATTGTCATGCCATTAAGTTGTGTGATTATAGGCCTGTGTTTATCCATCGTGCCGAGAACCTATCGTACCATGTAGAAACTCTAGCCTCGGGGTAGCTGGGTCGATGTACTTTTTACGTTTACATACTAAATCTGGTAAATATTTACGGCCCCGAATTGAGGTTCTCGTGCGTTGCTGGGAACATTGATGAAAAATCGAAAAAGAAAAGACGGATCATGGATTGACAACTACCTCCAAGTCGAATACCCGGGCAGTGTGAGGGCCTGGCTGCCGACTCTCTACGGCCCTTAGAGTCTGGGATCTGAAATGGGGTTCGGAAAAAAAAGGGAAAAAAAAAAAATTGAAGGAAATTATCGAAATTCACATGTCAATTGTCAAAGACTAAAAGGCTCTCCGGTGGAGCACTAGACTAGGTGAAATATAATCTGGTTGGATAGCTAACGGTTAGGCCCAGGCCTTGCGGTCTTGTTGAGGTGCTTGTTCAAGAGACGCCAACAGGCGAGTCGCTGCATCCGCAATGGCCTCCCGCATTGCTGCTTGCTGAAGAAAGAAGGAGGTCACGTGCCCATGACCATCCAATACACGTGCATCAGCACCGGACCAGAGCTATGGCGTGCAGTTGCAGGGGGGGCAGAGTTTGTGAGGCGATGCGGAGTACATTGGCACTGGTCGGTTTCAAGGACCAAGCTGAGCATTGTTTCATCATCAAGGCGCTTACCTCGGCAAGCTGTCGGTGCGTCTCGTATGGAATGTAGGCATCGCGGTCAGCCGCGAGCAGAACAAAGTGACTGACGTCCTCCAGCGGGGGAAGCTGGGCCAAGTCAGTAAATGTATCGAGCAGGGCACCCAGCACAGCCACCGGGGACCGCAGCTCGTCGGGAGTCCAGCGATGGAGTTGATCGCCTCCAGGGGTGGCTTGCAGGTCTAGCAAGAACTCGGTGATGATGGTCTGCTCCCGTTCCAAGGCAGCCCAGTCGACGCACGTTGACATGGCGCCCTGCATTGTGTGTGGGGCAGTAGCAAGGGCAAGAGTGAGATGCACGTTAGGTCATTCCGCCATTGAGTGCTATGGGCTGGATGTCGCATGGCCTGCCAAAAGTGGATTTGGCCTGGGCCGCAGAATAACAACAACATACTTTGGTAAAGGGGAGGTTCGCGGAGCGACCAGCCATGCAGGGGGCACAGGTGATATCAGGTTGACCGGCCATGGCAGTGATAAACGCCGCTCTGCAAGGGTTTGTGGTCAGGGGCGTAGATATGAGAGGAGGATAAAGCCAGAAGCAGACAAGCACAAACTGTAGCCACGGCACGTACAGGAAGCCACCGAGGGAAAAGCCTGAGTAGCAGGCGGCGGTAGGAGCGCCTTGTTGACGGAGAGCGTCGTGAAGGGTGGTGGTTTCCACGAGCATACCCAGGCCCATGACGAAGAGGTCAAGGACAGAGTTGAGGGTAGAGCCGACTTGAGCTGGCGGGCG